GGCTTCTCTGCGTGAGGCTGAAATCAAGCCCAAGTCACTATGTGCCAGGCCCCTTCATCACCTTCACTGAGCTCCTGTGCTGTCCCTTGCTTCTTAAGGCTTATTGAGATGTGAGATCTCCCTGTAGCCTGGGAGACCTCGGTATCTGCAGGGGTGTAGTAGCCGGAAGGGGACATGGTTGCAACTGGAAGGTTTTTTGGTACCCCCTTACATCATTTCCAGAAGCAGGGGGAAAGAAAACTCTCCTGGGCAGAAGGGGTTCTCCCTGATGGAGAAAATGTGGTGGAGGGAGCCATCAGATACTACTGTTATTAGGAAAGTGGTCCTACGTGAGTTGCTTCTTTTCTTTATCTCCTCTGACATTCAGTATTATTGCTGTTACGGTTCATTTTCTTATCCCATTGCTGTTTCCAGTAAATTGTTCCTCTCTCGACCCATGATCTTTGCTTTTTGTGCCTCCAGTTGGAGGGGAGAGGGAGCAGCACAGAGTGATTTTAGTGTCTGTATAAAACTGGGGAATACCATTCCTAAACCACAACAAGGGAGCAATTCCTGTGCCATTTCCAAGAGGGACTCAAGGAAACCTTTGCTTGAGGGGACGTAGAAAGGCAGCAATAGTTTTGCAGGCCCCATTCCTACACTTTCCATGTTTTGTCATTTTTACATTTTCCTCTATTTTCCTGCTTTTGCTTATATAAGAGGGTAAAAAACTCTCAATTGATGTTCCAGTGAAAGGAGGAACATCTCTCTGGAAGAGCAGGAAATGATGTGTGGTGGTGTCATGCAGGATTAGTCTGCAACCTCTGAGGCACACCGTGGCCTGTGGGATAACCTGGGAAATGCCACAGGGAGAAAACTTCTGGTGAAACTCATCCTGAGTAGAGCTTGAAAGCTCTGGGGGACAGATGGCAGGAAAAGGATTTTATATACTATTCAGTGCACTTTATTTCCATGGGGAGTAAAGCAACCCAAGTGATGAATCTCCTGCCTGGCAGGGGAAAATCTATACCTGAACAGTTCTCTGTGGCAGAAGAAGTTCCCTTTTTGGTTATTTAGAGATAAGTCATGAATCATTATTAAGCTGAGTGAAATCCAAACTAGTCTTCCCACTGTACCTTTACCCAATACTCACATTTTGCAGAACACCAATTCTGTTAGCATTTTCCTTCTCCTATGCCCACCTTTTTCCATAAATAAACTGCTGTGGAATCCTCCAGAGTGAAATGTTTCTCTTCTCTCTTCTCTTCTCTTCTCTTCTCTTCTCTTCTCTTCTCTTCTCTTCTCTTCTCTTCTCTTCTCTTCTCTTCTCTTCTCTTCTCTTCTCTTCTCTNTTCTCTTCTCTTCTCTTCTCTTCTCTTCTCTTCTCTTCTCTTCTCTTCTCTTCTCTTCTCTTCTCTTCTCTTCTCTTCTTTCTCTTCTCTCCCTTTCCCTCTCCCTCTCCCTCTCCCCCTCCCTCTCCCTCTCCCCTCCTTGTGTCTCTGGAAAAGACTCAGCTAGAGACATCACAAACTGAAACCTGCATTTTATGATAGCAATGTCAGAGTTCAACATTCCAAGGATTTGGGAAAGATCCTAAAAAGAAACATCCCAAACTCAGGAGGAAGTTCAGCATTAAATATGGGAGAAATCCAAATATGTTAAAGAATGGAAATCAAAATAACTTCAGCTTTGCCCTGCAGTGACCCCATACAATAAGAATATGTTTATGGTTAGATAACAGTGATGGTTGAAGCCCTAAATAGGAATAAATTGAGTTTTGAAGACCTCCAGGTTTACTGTATTGTTGCTATGTTTTTCCCCTAAGTGTTGCCAGAATAACGGTGAGTTCCCCAAAGGATCAACTCCAGAATGAATGTCCACTTATAAATTCCCTGCTTTACTTGTAAATTGTCAGAAAACTCCACCACTACTTAAAGCTGTCACGTTGTTGCCTCTTCCTGTAAGAAAAGGATGATGATGTTTTTGCAAGAAAACCAAAAAAGAGAGCTGGACATTTTCAGATTTTTTAAAGAGGTCTCAATTCCTGGGCCAAATTGGATTTAAATTGGCAAATGGGTCTGCAGGTGTCTAGGCTGGGAGCAGGTGAAGCCATTGCACAAAGCCCATTTTGCTAGGACATAGGCAATAATGTGTATCTGGCCAGAGAAGTGGATAAGTCTGTCAGCATGCCTTCAGAACCTGCTCCGATCTTCTGACTTCCTAGAGAAAAGACAGAGATGGTGTCCAAACACCATCCTTCAGGAACAACCATAAAAATTTTGAGGTGTCTGGAGAAGGAGGATATGCAGTGGACTTACTTCAAGTCAGAGCCAGTCTGCAAAATCCTTATTGAGCGAATTCAGGGTGTAGCTCTTGTCTCTGATTTCTTTTTGGGCATACTCTCTTCTTGGGCACACTGTAAACAACAAAGGTGGCTTTGCCTTCTTACATGAAAGTCTGAATTTGGGGACTAGCTGTGGATGTCTGGTGCAAAGACTTTCTTCAGATGTGTTATCTGAACCCCAAGTGTGTTTGGCTTTGTTTTTTTAAAGCCACTAAGGTTTGGGAGCACAAGCCACCAGTGCATCTAGAAGTCCTGTGTGCCTTGACTCCTTTCATGAGACACAGAACATATTCCTGCTCTCTCCAAATACCGCCGGGCTGAAGACAGCTTTACTCTGGTCAAAGGCCAGCAGGAATAGGCACGGAGCTCAGCTTTGCCCTTGATCCTTCACTCCTCGTTTGTGTGCTGCCCCGACTGAGCTCGGCAGCCTTGCTGAGGCTGATTGTGAGAAAGAGCAGAGTTCCCCCTTCCCCCTCTCCTGCCTGCACTCTGGCAGAGAATGAAGCGTGGGAGGACCTCACGGCGGATGCTTGGAGACTGCAGCACTCATAATGACTAGTCACTTATAAAAGATGTTAGTGATACTATCACTGATGCTTTATGTGGCTCTTTATATTTATGGCTGGGGTCTGAATGAGATCCCATCGGCTCCACACAAGGGGCCAAACAAATCTCAGCGGTACCCATGACTAATCAATAGTAAATATTAATAACAGCCAGCACACTGATAATAGCAATAAAGATTAATGATAACATGGCCTGCCTGCAAATGCTCCTGATACAGGGAGGGGGGCACAAAGGGCAGTCTGCCTTGGGGCTGGCAACCAAGAGATTACTCATTCCACCAGGGCTCTGTCTACCAGGCCTCACTGCCCCAGGCTCTGGACCAAATGGAAACAGCAAATTAAATAAGTCCCAGCTTTTCCAGCTCCATCCTGCCATCTCTTCCTGGCCTGTCCAGCACAGCTGTTGAGTAACACCTTGCTCAGGGTCCACATATATCAGCTGAGCTTTGTGTCTCTCGGGGAAAGGAAAGCTCACAATCTGGGATGGAGGAGAGAAAGCGGAAAAATTGAGAAAGAATTTTTATATATCAGCAGGTTCAACAGAAACCTATGAACCAGGACCATATCCAATAGAAAATAGAGGCAATCTAGTAAGAGTGAAATGCAGAAATGTTATTTCATAGCATTAGCAGCTAAAAGGTTTATTTGTTAGTGACTCACTACCAATTTAAAAGCTATCTATTAACCCCAATTATTTAAAGATTGATTTCTGTGCTAGCATTCCTGTAGGCAGGTGGCATGTGTTTTAAAAGGTACCACTCAAAAGAAGTAAAGTTTGCCTAGCGCAGATAAAGGAAACCAGACAAAGAGAAGATGTGTATTTCAGTGAGGGTGAAAACTGAGGAAAGTGGGAATATCTGTGGAGATGCTGACTAAATAAGGGAAGATGAGTGCATTGGCCCTTTCAACTGCAGACTCTACTATGGGGTTACAAGCAAACACTTCCACTATGTTCTTATATAAGGACAAGGGAAAGCATTTTCATTCATGAATGGAAATGTTTATGACATTTGTGGTCGAGTGATTTCCCTTTACGATCATTCTTCATATCTCTGGAAATCTCCTACCATTTTAATTATGAATATTATTTTAAATTCCTGATATTATATTTAGTTCTTTCTGTATAATTTCACTCCACCTGCTCTGATGGGTTTTTTTTCCAGTCTATTAACCACCTGAAAAATGACAAAGCTTTTTTAGAACTTTGCAGTGGGATTATGAATACTATATTATAACTCCTGAAAACACGTGAACTGTTAACCCAAAGACATTCGCTAGCATTTAAAGAAAAACCTCATGCTTAACTGTATCACCATATACCAACCAGATTTTAAGCCAAGGCTATAAAAAGCTTTTTTGTGTTCTTTTTAACAAAACACTTGGTGAAGAAAGCCTCTCTGCCAAGGCTATACTCTGTTTTTTTGACAGTGCCCAATTCCCAGAACTGGCATATTTCTGTGCTAGTTTGAAGGAGATCTATTACTTCAGTACTTTGGAAATATTCACAACAGCACACAGCTGTTCGCTGTGAGCGGACTTTCACAACACTGTAATGGCAGCTAAAACGGTACCAAAAATCCTTGCACAGGATGTAATCAACCTCAAATCTACAGAGAAACATTGGGAAACTGCCTTCAAGTGCCAAGAAAAACAACAGTCTTTTACAAGAGCTCTTCCTAATGTCCAGTCAGCTCAACCCAAGTGAAGTGTGTTTCTCAAAATGAAAGTAGTGAAGAGCAGGGAAGAAAAAGCCCTTGACTCTTTAAATGAATTTTTCTAAATAGAAACACAGAGAGACTCTGACACTGGAAACCACCACTGATCCTTCCTGCCATTGAAGCTCTATCATCACCCAATCTGCGAATCCACTTCTTAAGTGATAAAACTCTTGTTTTCCAACATTTTTCTCTTGCCTCCTTCAGACACTTGGAAAGTTCCTGTTCCTCCAGCGGCAAAGCTGTTATATGTCATGTTTCCCTACTCAGAGAGCTTAACCATTAGCCAGTGATTGGAGCCATCCCATTGCCCCAGATTTATGGCTTTTCCCAGGATGTCAGTCCAACCCAATCCCCAGGTGTTCCCAAGGAATGCCTGAGTCGCATTTCACTTACCCCAGCCGAGGCTCAGCAGTTGTGGGTAATGCAGAATGGAAAAAAGCCCTCATATGATAGTGTCTCTCTATTTACCAAAAAGAAAGGAGCCAGGGTGCTTGTCCTTTAAGTGTCTCTAAAGATGGTTTGCATAGCTGGATCTCAGCTTATCTATGCTTTTCTGCTTTTGCTTCCATACATGGATCTGTTCCCCATAGTAACTCTAAGCTGTTGAAAAGAAGCTATCTGGCAGCTTTCAGCTTCATCTGACATGTAAATGAGCGCAAATAAATAACTACATTTTCTGCCATCTCTTTTTTTTTTTTTTTAATTTGCACCTCAGGACATCTTTTCTTTTTTTCCTTCTCCCCAGATTAACATTTTGCTGTTTTTCCCAAAGTAATTCCTAGGGGAAAGCAATCAGAAATGACCCAGGCAGATTTTTTTTTCTCCCCTTCCCACAGGCTCACATAATTTTATTCTCATATATATTTTTTTTCTTATTTTTTTCTTTTTTCTCCATTTGATTTGCTTATAGGTCAGAGTTTTGCATGTTTGCTACTTGGTATCATGTCAAAGCAATATACATCATGTCTGTAGCAAAGGAAGGTTAAAAGTCAAATTTTTGGAGAGAGAGAGAATACAGCTGAGCCACATGACTGCTCCCAAATTAGCAGCAGTAGCAGGAGTAAGCATTCCTCTGATATTACAGTAGCCACCATGGGACACGCCTGAAACATTGAAGAGAGAAGCTGCAGTTTGGAAGCTTCCTGCAGGTCTATTTATGAATAAATCACTCCTTGCTCTTTTCCCTATCTTTCCAGGTACTTTCCTACTCCCTAGGTTTCAGTTTCAGAAAGGGCTGATAAAGAATAAAAATGGGAGGGAGCCCTGTGGTACAGGTCAGGAAATAAGTCATATAATTACACTTAACTCTGCCCTTTGGAATCTTTGCTGTGCAAATGGAAATGTTAAGGGCTCCAGTGAAAGGGGAACACTAAATAGATGTCTTTATTATTGTTTGTTATAGTGGCAGCTGGCAGTAAATCAGATATTAGTGAGCTAATCAATTGCTTCATACTGGGCTCTCTGGTTAAAAGAAAACTGGTGAAAGGCATATTCAAAGAGATTTAAGATATCTAAGGCTGAATGTAGGTATCCCTATTCAGACACTTGCATGAAAAATGGCATCCACAAAGGTGGTGGCTTTGATTCATTGCAGGAGATGGAAATTCCTTGTATATTCCCACACACCAATGACCTTGACTGTTTGAGATTTTTCCTAAACATCTGCTGAACACCAGGCAGAAGAAAAGCTTGTAAAAAAGCTCACCAGCTCCACCTTTACAATTAATGATAAACTACATTTTCTATGTTAACAAATTACCCAATTAGAAATGCTGCTTCAAGTGGCATATTTGAACTCCTTCTGTTTGCTGTCTTGGAGACTGGAGGGAATGTGTGTGGGAGTGTGTGTATAAATGGAGATCTGGGGAGACTTCCAGCATCTCCCCAGAATCCAGAGCAGACAGCCTCCCTGGGAGCACATCCCAGGGCAAGGTGAAGGCCCATGGAAGCATGCAACAGGCAGCAAGAGGAGTCTTTTGGAAAAGATAAGTAGTTACAAAGGGGACCCTCCAGTTTTCAGTACACTGGCCAAATGGTTGTACTGTGCACAGTCCCCGGTTGTTTGGGGTTGTGGAGAAAAATGAGATGAAAAAAATTCCTTCTGGAAATTTGCTCTGGAGTTTCTCCAGCCTTTCAAGAGCAGAAGCCAAGCTCATCCTAGGAAGGTGCTTGAACAGGAATATCATCATTGCCTGTTAGACACACCTGGTGACTGAGGAGGTCTATGCTCTAATGCAAGTGAGAACATGATTCAGCACAGCATTTAAATTCATTGCTTAATTTAAAATATTGAATAATGCTTTTGTTAACAATGCTATTGAATAATGCTGAAGTTATTAATGTGATTTTCATTCTATGCTTTACTAGGTTGCCCAGGTATAGACATGAAGCTGCCATGAAGCAGCATGAAAAATAAACAAAGTTTGGCACTCACGTGTGAGTGTATTTGCAACTTGGTCTTGACCTTAGGTATTGCTCCTAGGAGGTCTAAAGGCCAACAAAAATGGGCTAAGATGAGAAAAACCTCAATTCATTGCATATGTCTTCCTTTCCATGAGAGAAATGCTGAATACCACAGGTGTCTGTGGTTTTCAGTGCCAAAGAAAAACCTAGGTGGCTTTGAGAATAACATGGCAAAGGTGCACTCAGAATTTCAGCAGCTACAAGGACAAGGGAGTAGGCTGTTTTCTGGCTTTGATCTGCCTTTTGGCACAGTGACTGTGTGTTACTCTCTAGATGGGTGACACCAGCCTCTTCAAACCCTGCTCCCCACAGAGAGCAGCCAGAGAGCTTCTCAGATTTTCCATCGAGAGGTTTTTCCATTCTTCCCTGCTGGGAAAGGTGAAGTTTGCATCAGGGTGATGATAAGGTGGAAGACATTTTCCTAAAGCAAAAGAAAGAGCGGACAGCAGTGTTGCCATGCACCAAGAGGGCCACAGGGAGTTGGAAATAAAGCACCTTTGACCTTTGTGCCCACCGACTTCTCTCCCCCTCCCCAAAGAAAGCAGAACAGGAGGATGAAGTCCACCTTTGGTGGTGAGACATGTAGGGGACATCAGCTCTGCCAGGCTTGGCACCAGCTGGACTTGCAGGAGTGCTGGTGAATGCAGGGCTGGGATCAGGACCTGTGTCTGTGCTGGTGGTGAGGGTGGTGGTGAGGGGATTCACTTCATCTTCTGAAGCCTTGTCCCCCTTGGGATCTCCCCAACACCTGAGTCCTATCCCAGAGCCATACACCTTCCTAGGGAAAACCCTCTGCAGGCTTTCCCACAGCATTTAAATGCTGATTCTCCAGGACTGTGCTTCAGGAGGTTGTGCATTTTTGTGCTATTTGTCCTCTCTGCCTGCTGTTATCAACGCTGTAGCCACAAAATAAAACCAGGCCTTGGTCTTCAGAAACACGTGTGCTCTTTCTTATGCTGCATACTGCAGTTGCAAGCCACCAAAGAGGTGTTGAAATGTCTTTTATGAATATCAATGTGGATTTCGTAAGAGTGATTTAAATATAGCAGCCTGCTTTCCTGGGAGACCCTGTAGCTGTATTCTCACTGCAGCAAAAGCTGCACCATCTGCCCAACATTCGCAGCCGCTTCCTGAAGACCGCCAGAGACTTGTCATCCTGCATTTGGCTTGCACAGGGTTCCAAAATGAAGCCTTTCTAGTGAAAAGGAATGGATGGGCAAGCTTCAACACACTCAGATGCGTAGCTCAGGTGTGTTTATGTAGCATTATATGCTGGGAAAGCTGGACACAGCTCTGAGCAACCTGATCTAATGTGGAAGCCAGCCCAGCTCTGAGCAGAGACTGGACCTCCAGAGGTCCCTCACAACCTTAATTATCCTGTTCAGTGTCAGTTTAGAACATAACCACACGGTAGAGGAATAGCAAGGAAACCTGAACTCCTATGTCACCTGTGACATTTTCTGTCTCCCTCTTGTTTTTTGTGACTACCTTCAAGCTCTTCGAGTGTGGTTCAGCTCTCATTCCACATCCATGGCTTGTCTCCAGTGTTGCTTGAACCTTACTGTTCTGCAAGTGAAAATCCACTACTTCCCCCTTTAAAAACAAAAAAAAAAGCAAAGTGATTAAAATGCAGTTGGGCCTGTGCCCAGGTAAAGCACAAGAAAGTCAGGCAGTCATTCTTTTCTTGTGTTAAGTTTGTAAAGTTTTGCAAGCAAATAAGACTTTTTCTGTTTAGGGTAAGCAAATATGCCTTGAACCTGGGCAGTGTCCAATTCTTAGTGATGGTTTATTTCACCAAGGCATAAATTACTGTGCCTTCAGGACAAAGCTAATAGAAAAAAATGCTAATTAGTGCTGGCCAAAAATTTTCCAGTGGAACATTTTTCTGTCAGAAACTCTCCTGATTATCAAAGTTGAAATGTTCCAGAAGAACATGTTGATTTTTCTGAGCCTCAAATGCCATGGGGTAAGCTGAGGTGGGGTCGGAATAAGGAAAGAGTGCTTCCCTGACAATTTATCTGCTTGGATGCTAGTCTTGTGGCACTGCTAAGGATTGGAGTTTGGGGCAATCTGCCATGCAGAAAATGTGCTGATGGACAAGTTGTGAAAATTCCTGTTTCCTGGATGGGAGTTGTAAATACAGAAGTCAGGGAGCCTGTCTCATCTCCCCAGCTCCCTTCCACTGGACACCAGCCTGGGAACATGCATGCAGAATGGCGTATCACCATTCCCAGATTAAATACTTCAGGCAGCTGAGTGAGACCTTCTCAGCTTATAAAAGAGAAGGCTTTAATTTTATTCTGGGATTTCTGCTGGGAGAAAAGGACGAGCTGCTCTGATATTATCTGAGTTTGTTTGAACTCAAGCTTCTACAGGTGCAGCTTTTTCATCCATGGCATGTCAAATCCACATGCAGCGCTTTTTTTATCTCACACTTCCTTGTCTTCTGACAGAGATGCTTTTCCAGCTGAAGAGATGAGGATCACAGCACTGTGATATTCATGCATTCAGAAACGGCTACATGGGCTTAAGTTTGATGTAACTTTGCAGGGTCTATGGCCAAACGGGAACTGAAAAGCCCATGAGCATGGATCTGGTGACACCAGTTTCATTCCAGACCTGCACTGCTGGCCTTGGAGACCAGACATGCCCCCAGCAGCATATTTGGATGGTGTCTGCAACACTCCATGTTTGCTCCTGGCTCACTCCTTCACTTCAGTCCTGCTGAAACCAGCCCAGCTCTTCGGCCTTCCACATTCCTCTCTTCCAGAGAGCACCCCTGGGGCCGGGCACCAGCTTATGGGGGTGGTAATCATGACGTGACCCTTCCCTTAGCTAGGACCACCTCTTCAAATCTCAGAGCTGGCAGAACATGGCTCTAATGCTGATCAAAATATTGCAGGAACCAGGACTAAGGATACTCTGAATTTCCAAGCATTAATATTTGATGCATTTCAATATTTAAAGAGCTAAGATAATTTAAGAAACAC